CTTAACAGTGGCAAGCATCACTCCAAGACCACCACTATGCCTCTCGAACACCGATCACCCAAAATCACCAAACCAGCAAAAGATAGACAGAGACACGTCGCTACTGTGGCTTTGGCGGAACCTTACGAATGCGCTTCCGGCGCTGCTTCACACATGTACTAGCGGGATTCACAGACGCCTCACGCAGCGGCAGTTGGCGGAAACTGGCGCTCGCGGGAAGACTAGAACCCTCTAGCATAGGTGTCGCAATGTTGGCGGAAACAACGTGTCTCGTGGTGAAAGGTCAGCCAACCCAATAATCAGCGAAGGCACCCCACTTGTCATCTCCACGCGAAGACTCCACGAGCATGGGTCCAACTAGCATCGCAGCATGGCTGCTGACCTCTCCAGGTCACGGCAGAAACGGAGGGATGCGGCATGATCAGTCATGTCCACGTTGATGCTCGGGTGACTGCTGGTTTGCCATTTCGCTGTAGCCCATCGGACACGGGCTCGACCTCGTGCATGATAGAACAAACGACAACGGAATTAAAAGTCCTCAGAGGTCTTGACAAAGGGATTCTGGTGAATGTCCGGGATATGGATAACCTGCGCCATGCATTGCTGAAAGAAGCATGTTGTCCGCGATGCCAAGCTCTGCTATGCCTGCTGTTTTTGTGCACATTGCCCCAGGATGCCCCTTGTCAAGCTGATGGTCGTTGCTCCCTGCGCTCGCACTCTCGAATCAACACTGACTGTGTAACATTGCGATCTCAGGATCTTCAACATGAAGCAAACGGCCTTCTTGCGCATCTGAGACGATGAGATGAGGAGGCTCTTCGAGTCGGGATCAAAAAACAGCACTCGAATCGTGTTCACCTGGCATCGGGCAGGACGTAGCACGACCTACGCTGACATGGCCAAGTCATCATCGCCAAATCCTTAAGGCTGGAGCGCAGAAGAAACCAGAGAACAAGTGCTTGACCCGTTGCTCGAAGTCGGCAAGAGTTTTGGCCTGCAAGCACGAGCTAACTCCACCTCTGCTTTCGGCATGCATCTGTAGGACTTAAAGGAACTCGACCAGAAAACACTTCCTTGCAACGGGGCCCTGCTCCCTCCGGTTGAGGAGCTTCTCTACTGTGCCGATGGTGAATGGAGAGGAGGCCATTATGATCCATCTAGTTCTGAGTCTAACCTGAAATGGCATCTGCCTTCAGTCGGACTGTTTGACTTGAAAGGCTCCGCTCTGCACAGACCGGGATCATACCGGTCGCTGGTGGCCTTGTTGACATCGATAGCCGCTTCCATGATGTGGCGAGTGCGGTCCACCTCGTCGTGGGCACGTGCGGCTGGTGAGCTAGAGGCACAGGCCTGAGCTTCGCACGAGTTTCGCCCTCTGTTCGAGGCGCTCCACGTACAGAAGAACCTGATCATCGCTCGCACAGAGTTGTTTCCTGAAATACGGAATTGACCAGTAATGAGAGCCAAAGGCACCATTGATGAGTCTTCTGGTGAATGTCATGGCACTTTTAGAGGGCTCAGCTTGGGTCGCCTAAAGACTCTAGCAAGGACTTGCTCACTCGAAGTGTGGGCATCTACACACATGGCTCGTGACAGCCTTCATCCTGTGAAGCTTCCCTTCCCAGAGCAAACAGCTTCAACGCTCCACGAAAAGGAAAGACACCGGAGAGTGTAATAAGTCCCGGACACCGCCGATGAAACTGCACAGGAGCTGCCTGTAACGTAGCAATCTCGAACGAAGAACCATGGACTTGGAAGCTGGGTTGCCGCGCAGGTAACTGACATGAGCGTCCGTGAACGTAGAATGACTCGGGGTACTTTCCTGCGACACACTGCATGAAACAGAACATAGCCCCACCCAAGGTTGGTTAAACCGGGTTAGACAGAACAAGCTACGAGCCGTACAGTCAGCATTCCGCTTTTGCCGCGGCCAGACAGTCCGGAGCTTGATCACGGGGCTGGCGAAGCGGGAGGAGCGTGCGAACTGTCTGCAGAAGACTGGTATCCCCCAACCGCAAGGCTGAAGGTGCTCGCTGTGTTTAGCTGTCTTCGATTTCGCGGCTTCATCTTGGCGGCCGTTCCTCTAAAACTAGTACCTGCAGGACAAGAACGGCGAATGCCTACTCTGCCATGACTCGACTCAGAACTTGCCTATGGTAGATCCTGACTCGGGATTCCGCAAGACGATGTCGCATCTGATGGATCAGAACTTCGCACATCTTGTTGGAAAGACAGGGTCGCCATGCTTGTCAAAGGAGCATTCGGTGTCCTTCTGATCATGGTTCACCTGCCTAACTTGGAATGTCTGGTGCTGCGTTTGTGTATTTATACTAACAGGGGATTTGGAACCATCAGAGAACCAAAAGATGATGGTTTGGGCATTCCCGCAAACTCTTGTCACAAAAATTTCAACAGCTCAGACCCGTTCCGAAAGTCGGACCTAGTCTACAGTGCTCTTCTGCGGTTCCCAAGCTTGCAGGACCAAATGGGTCAATAGGATTAGTTGAGAAGATGAAGGTTCTGGAGCGTTGCAGCGAGAACGCAGAGCCCATGCTAAGCGAACAGCTGTCTACTTCAAAGCATAATCGCCCCAGGAGGCAGTCATTCTGACTGCACCCTGGACTGTGCCCAAGCAGGGCGAGATCTTCACTAGGGTAAAGTGCAAGCTGCGACAGTCCAGCTGGCCGAGTCATCCACGGATGGAGCCATCTTTATTCGCTTCGACAGAACCGACACAGATGCAATGCTCGACCGACTGACGTGTGGATGACAAAACGTCCTCCGCACGTAAGAAGATGGAGGAGGAGAGATATTGAAATAGGAACCCCGTTATTTGGCTTGAGCTGCGAAAGATCGGGGAGGGCTGCGAGAGCTGAACCATGATCAAGTTCTTATGATGTCAAGATAAAGAACTACTTTCTGCCCTTCCGAGTCCCAGATTCGGACGGCACGGGGTGGAGACTTGACATCAGCGTTCGATCATGCTCCGTGCCCTCTACCTGGCGAAAAGCCACACACACAACCACGAGATGCAATCATGCAGACAAGATGGAGCAAACAAGCAACTTTTCACTGAACATCACCCAATAAAATGGCCCGTGGCCTGAATTAGCCGGGAAAGAGCTCGCGATTGGGATCGTTTGACAGAACATTGTTGCACTCTATGTCCAGGATTGCGAAAAAAATGTCCACTCGGAGCGTAGGCGTCTAGACTGATCAGGACACGAAATTTGAGGCACTACACCTTGTGATTGCAAGCGCGTTAAGCAGCCAACGGTCCTGGGATACACCAGCGTCTTGAAGCACTCGGGGCACAAAGCCTGCCTTCAAAGCATTGTAGTGCACATGCCACGCTAGGCAGGCTGCACTGCCTCATTGTCGGATGCACGAGAGTCCTGCATTTTATAATGCGAGAATTGCCGTGCTCTGCAGGCATTTGCGTTCTTCATCCAAACATACTAGAACCCCCCCTGTGCCTACTTCAGCCTGAAACCGGTGCTAAACACTCAGGCGGTCTACCGAGTTTCGGCAGGTCCTCCAGGAGAACCTGCAAGACTGCCTGGGCTTCACTGCTATAGAATGAAGATGAATGAAGTACGAAATCTCCGCAAGGCAACATGACGCATGAAGGCATAATTGCAGCATAAAGCGTGTTTGCCTGAGGACCGGTCCCACACCCGCGAACGATTTGGGGTCAGAACCTGAGCGTTTCAGATGGTACGCGGCGTTGCCACAGCCTGCAATACCAAAACCCTTCACATCTTGCCGAGATCGCTGCTGGCAGAGCGGCACAGACTCTCGACCGAAAAGGCAATGCCTTCGACAAGCACAGGCTTGCGATAATTTGGTCCGTTCATGATCAAAGCCGCCGAGGCTTTGGCGTTCAGAGTTTAGGGTAAAACCAAATTGAAACTCCCACTCGAATCTCTCCGTAGATTCCATGGCCAATTCGTGACGGGCTAGCTCTGGACTTACAGAATACTCCTTGGCATAGCCTGGGGATAGGCACCTCAGCATATGCGGGGTCGAACAGCGACAAAGTCAGCTGTCGCAGTGGCGTCGTCTATAATACCATCACCACGGCTACTGCTGTAATCGTTGACGCACGTCGCGGCCACGGCATGCGTTGTCGTGCTCGTCGTCGTCGTCGTCGTCGTCGTCGTCGCCGGATGGGTAGTCGTGGTGGAATGCGTCTCGTCAACGTCGTCATCATCATTGTCGTCAACGGCTCAGGGTGAGGGATAGCAGGAGCAGTAAGAGCCGCAGAAATGCAACAGCTGCAGTTTCTAGAGTAACCACTGCGATGTGTGCACAATGCCCGAGCTCAGCAAGACTCCGAGAAGTTCTGTCCTGAAGGTCGGTAAAGACGGGCGGACACACCTGCGCGAAGTCACCATCCCACAGAACTGTGGCTTCGGAAAGAAGCGAGGGAGCCTTGCTCTCCTCAAGTCGAAGCAAGGCCTCTCACATTCGGCACATGAGCCGGCATCGCTGAGTGGAATCTGCCGGGTCCTGCAGCTCCGTCTTTCCCTGCCCGAGGTAGAAGATCGTGAGCTGCTCGGTCTACAAAAGTCGCGGGGCAGACTGCTGTTCGGATTCTTCGAGATCGTTCACGCACAGTGCGGCTAAAGTTGATTAGAGGGCTGGGAGCAGCTCTGAACTGGAGCGTTCTGTGCTGCTCGACAGAGAGACTGCAGGCTTCCCAATCTTGCTTCCTGAGCTAACGCAGGCAAGCTGGACTGACTGAGCCTGGCGAAATGCTTCTAGGGGCGAGATTTCGAAAGAGGGAATTTGTCTTGCTTTGGAATGGAAGCGGCCTGTATCACAAAATGAACTGCTTGGCTAATGTTGAACTGGATGCTTAGTTGCCTTGGTTCATGCAGGCAGGCTCGCGGCGTGCAACTTCTGTAAAACTGTCTTTAGCTTCCAAATTGGCAAGCTGTCCTTCTCTCGAGAAGTGCGCGCTCTGAGCAAGCACGCAAGCTCTGCCGAATCGCCTAGTTGAATTGATTTGTTGGATTGACAACAAGATGCAAAGGGGCCAAGGGGGCTTATCTGACAACGGCAGCTTTTGAGACACCCACTTCACCACATCACCAATTGGAAATGACGTTTAGAACGTGGGGGCAGCACTTCCTGTCTGGTGTGTTTGTCCTGCTAGTCTTCGGTGGAAACGTGCCGATCCACGACCACGACAACTGCTCTGCGAATACATTGAATGAACAAGTTCTCAAAATGACCTGACCTTCGCAGGAAGTCTGAGCAATAATCCACGAATCAGCATCAGGCAAGGCGCCTTCGAGTAGTTCCCGGAAGTCACGGCCTTCCTCAACCACGGGTCTACGATAAATACCTCCAGCGCTAAAACCACGAAGGCGCTTTCAGTCGTCAAACGGGACTTTTACAAATCGTGGGGCGCCGTAATGTTGGACACACGGCGATCGACCAGCATGCGAGCGGAAACATCGGCCAAAGCCTGACAAGTCAAGCATGTAAAGACTCTGAATGCATCCTCGGGTTCAAGGAGACTGACTCGTAGGCACGTCAAAGACGATTCAATGTCGCGCCAAAACCTGCGCCATCTGCAGCGTCGCGCGTGCCATGCAAACAGGCATGCCAACAGCATCCTGACTCTGGGAGAGTCTTAGCTTCGGACAGGTTCATGGAATTGATCAACTGCGACACCCTTGAAAACGGGGGCTTTGCTTTTCGCGCCTGCCGAGCCCATACGAGTTGAGGCCTCTGGATCGATCAGAACTGCCAAAGTGTGTCTCCCGAAGAGAAACTTGTCTGGAGACCTGATCTTCTTGCCTGGCGGTGTCTGAAAGACATGTGTAGAATGTTGGCTCTCTGTGGACAGGGTACACAAGGCAATCTATTCTGGTCTCAACTCAAGCTGTGTCTCCTAGGACAGTCTCAAGACTGGCCTTCTGGGAGGACTCTGCGATGAGGAAGCTTCCGGATCCTGTTTTTTCAAACACGTGTGCAGACATGTCAACCGTATGCGATTGTGCAGTGCCAAAGCCCTATGCTACAACACTGCAAACAAAAACCTAACGACTAGTCAAAGCCAAGTCTTGAAGACCACTAGAAAACAGTCACTGTCAGCCAGAATCAGAGTCGGTGCCAAAGTTGGATGCGCGCTGCCGGCTTTCATGCATACTTTCATGCCCGAACGCTCAGAGAGCATCCAACGGGACTCGCGAAACAGTCGCAGGCTCCAAGTCCGCGGCTCTCTGATCCGAGCTCATGGCATGGTTGAAACGTCCTGCACGGCGGCAATGCAGCAAGGCATGAAAAGGTCTGCGAAAAAAGCATAGCCGCCTCTGCAAGTCAGCGGGGTCAGCGGCATTCTGGCCAGCAGCTCATGCCTTCCAGACTGCCTTAGTACAAGGCTCCTAGTCGTGCTAGTCCTAAACTTCCCTTTCTCGAGCCAAGCATGTCGTGCGGCCGAGAAGCACATTCGCTGGACTTCGTGGAAATCTTGGCCATTCTCCCGGCGGCGGCGCCGTTGCAGCCAGCTGCACGAGAGCTTCCGGCTGCCTCGCATTCCGCAAGCATGCATCACAACGTAGCATTCACCGAGTTTGCGTAAATTCCCCAAGACGCCTCGAGGGCTCAGGCTCGCTGCCTTCCAGAAGACCCTTCAAGCGCCGGTTGACCTGTGCGCTGCCACAAGCTAACCAGGGTCGAGGTTCACGCGCAGCACGGACCTTCTTTAGGGAGCTGTTCTCCGATCGCAGCTTGGCCATTTCAGCCTTCAAATCATCAAGCTCCCGTCCTAAACTCCTGTTTCACTCACCTCTGCTGAATCCTGCAGTGTGACCTGTAGCTGATGTATCTTGCGATGAAGGTCTTGGTTGTTCTCCAATGCCTCACGACGCGTACAAGAACTTGCATCAAGATTGCAAGTAACACCACTGAACAGCATGCTTAGATTAAGACAACTTTGAGATCTTCTGCTTCATAAGCAGATATCAATGGGCCTTATCAAGGAAGAAGCGGAATTCTGCACGTGCTTGCTGCAGAGCACGAGCATGCTCGGCCAGATCATTCAGCTCTCAACTTTTCGCGATGCTCGTGATTTCGAGCATGTCGCGAAACTCCTCGATTTTGCCGTGCTGAGCCTTGCGAACATCCCTGCTCCTGCGTCTAACAAAGAAAAGTGAGCTTGTCTTACCCGTGCGAACGTCGCACGATACCAGATGTCCAGCCAAGGGCGCGGCACAAAACTATTGCAAACAACTGTAAACAAACAAAATCAGACATCTGCATATTCAACAAGACATTGAAGCCGATGCGTACTACACAGTACCCTTGCCTTCACAATATGTTTCAGCTGCTTGATCAATTCTTCGTCTCGTTGAAGACGTTTGACAAGCGCCTTGCAAACCAGACATCCAATGAGCCGCACTTGCCTGATCCTGTCCTGGTACTGATCGGCAGGCACGGCAGTTAAAGAATCCAATATGATATCATCACCTCAGCGGTGCAACACTTGGCTGCACGATTCAATTCTGCAGCATCACTCCATTGGGCAAACAGCCTTCTGCCAATTCTTCCACCTCAACACGGGTGCCGACAAAAAGCTCCGAAGCACCAGAACATGCACAAGCACCTGTCCCATGTCGAAATCGAGAATGTCATGTGCTGCTCGCATGATGACAAAGATATTTATGTACTCAGCCAGCCGGTAAACGTGCATCACAAGTAAGAAAACACTGCAATACAACGAGTCGAAAGCTTGCCTTGGCACCTACATGCTTCCGCACTTTGCACGTGCCAGTTATCACCCCTGACATTACTTCAGAAGTCATGAGTGAAACACCAAGGTGAAACGTAAGTGCACCTTTGAGCACTACATACAATGCAAGCAAGCAACTGCGAGATCGAAGCAGTGCTATGTGAGTTTGACAACAGCACTCCAGGACAAGTTTCAAATGTTGTGCGATGTTTTGTGCCAAACGAAACAGAAATTGACGATTTTACAAAACAGTCATGATCCATCCAAACAAAAGTATGTTCGCCTTCCAGCGTCGCGTCTCCCTGCAAGCCGCCTTCAAAGCCCGTTGAAGGCCCCTTGAAAGCCCCGGCTTGAAAGCCTGAAACCTCTTGTAAACCTCTCAAAACCTCCTGTACAGAATGTAGGGGTGCTTGTGGCAACTTTTTCTCACCCGTGAGATAAAGTCTTGGTATGGACCTTGTTGGCGACTTCCTCGAGTTCGCCAACGTCGTGCCCGAAACATGTCTGACAGATGAATAAAAATGAATCCCTTTTGCGACAGTCTGTTTAAAACCTGGACTCTGACTGTTTCAGTCCTTCTAGATCCCCACAACATCGAGGAAACATGTGGATCTTTCCGTTTCCGTGTCACAATCATTTCACATCGCCGAGATGCTGGAATCCGACATCCAACAATCGAGCGCAGACATGCAGTCACCATGCTGTCACCGCGTCACTGTAGTCACTTTTCAATTTTTTCGTCAAGCGAACGGTCACAACGCAGCCACTGCACAGACACTACAAGTCACGTAGTCACTACACACGTCAAAACGAAAAAGCAGCGCTTCGCACAGCTCATGGCTGCACATAGACGGTTGACTTCACAACTTGCAATTGTTTAACCACCAAAGTCCATACAACACGCGGGCTGCGGTCGCACGGTTGCCCAGATTTGGAACAAAAACGAAACGCTTTG